TGTTTTATCTAAATATCTGAATTACTTTGAATAAGCTGGAAATATGTCCGTAAAATAATTAAACAAATAAGGCACAAATGTTTTGTAAGATATTTACATCTTTAAGGGACATTCGGTAGACTGATTCCCCACTGTTAGTTCAACCCCAAAACTTTTTTTGTATTCAAAATTAATTATGACAATGTATATTTATATTGAAACAAACTATGTTAAAGGGAATTATATTATATAACAAAGGGCAAGGTCACCAGAGTTCAACTATGTTTCATTTGATATGGCTGTTTGCAGCTAGGACATGTTTTATAGATGTTAAAATTTGCATACTTCATGGCCTCCGGATAGTACTTAGTACAATAGTGTTTCTGAGTTCATTTACTGCATCCTATTATCCAGAAATTGAAAGGTTTTATGGACAAGAATTAAAGAAGCTAACCAGAGTAAGATTTGACCAACATTAGGCATTAATCAGAGTAGGATGGAGTGATTGAATTGATTACTATTAATGCATCAATTGTTCACTGCGTTGTAATTTCACTATTTTCTCTAATAAGTAAAATCCACTAAATTAAATCTTGTAAACATAGTAAATAACAATAGAACTTGATTGTTTTGCTGCATTTAAAACCCAGTGGATAGGCTCAAAATACGAGAATAGTGAAATTGAATGCCATTGAAATTAAATGGTTTTTACGGTACTTATTGTATACTAAAATATTCTAATTTATTTTATTTGTTTTATAGATTGAGGACCTGAGTGATGAACTGCTAACAGAGCGCCATGCCATTTGTGAAGTTGCTGAACGTAAACGATATCTTGGCTATGTTGACAAAAACAAACGTGGCTCACGAGGCTCGCGCACCAACAGTGGCAGTGGTACACCAGAGCCCTGTTCACCAGATATTGGTCTTACAGAGAATAATTCACTGTCTTGTGGATTACTTCCGAGTCGTGCAGACACAACACCATCACCATCACCACTGAACACTCCACATGAGAGCAAACTGGCTCCTCCAGAATCTGTACGACATAGGACGTTCTCCACATCCTCTGAAAAATCAAATATTGACAGATCGTGTTCTTCAAAAAGCTTGGAAATGCTTAATGATGACAGTGAAGATGGTTTTACAGTTATTGTACCACCATGGACAGAAAGGAAGTTTCCATTGTCAGATGCTGAACTTGCTGCATTGGAAGGGAGCTCCCCACCACCGTCACCAAAAATTAAACAAGAGGTTATATCAGCTGACATTGCTGAATCGGAAACCTCGTCTGAAGCAAGCACACCTGTGCTAATAGCTCCTGTTCAGAAAAACAGTCGTCCAACCACACCGGATTTTGACGAGGATGAATCGACCGACGAAGACGTTGAGGACCTGAATGACCCAGAGTGGACTGTCATCAAACCGGACACTCAGAAAAAGGCAATTGTGTTGAAATTAGCTAAGAGGTGAACTTACGCAGTAGTTTTTATACTGTAGTAGTGTATATACAGTGGAATTACAAAGTTGTACAAAAAGAATTGTATTGAGGCCATTACACTTGTACTCATAGATAACCCCTTGTACATACATATTTACTAACTTTAGAAGCGTTATCTTGTGGCAATGTTACCTTGGTTACCGTTGTGTCTTTATTGATGAAACAAATTTTTTTTGGTGTGAATATATATGGCAAGGTTAAGCACAGCGTTGATTTCACTTTCATTCAAAGAATAGTTTGCATGTTTTAATAATGAATGTACCAAGTATACAGTAATGTAACTTGCAGCTTGTTGATTTGAAAGTTTGTAATGTCCATGATCCTCCTACAGGTTTAGTTGCGCATAGCTGAAAGTTGACTTTAGTTCATTGTGTAATGAATAGTCATTGATAGGATGGAATACAGCTCCTGACAATCATTTATGATTTTGCGTTTTCTCTGTTGGGTAATGTTGAATATCCTTTTTGAAGCGTGGTGTGTGTAACGCTGAGGATATGGTGGGCAGCTATCAGTGCAGATAGAGGAACTTGTGCCAGTTGAGTGAACTGGATATAGAGGGCTTCTTGAAACAAGTTTTTCACCCACATGCAGGTAAAGTTAGAACTCCACAAAAATAACACTTGTGTTGGATGAGTAAGAATACATGTGGCATGTTCCGGTTTCAGTTCACACAAAACACATTGCTATTCTTGTATGTTCCTCCTTTTGTGAGCTGCTTTACCAGTTTCTGTAGTTAGCATTTCAGAATACTCAATGCACAACTTCCTTTGTAGGTAGAGCAACTAACATTGGTTTACCAGATGGCTCGTTGTTTCAGAGACGTCTGGGGTAATGTTAGGTGACTGCATATTACTTGTCATCTAAGAGCTATTTTGGTTCAGCATTCATTTTGTAATGCAAATTTTGACCAAAAAGCAGATGCATCTATTGTGCAAAGGAGTAGGACAGTCGCTTTGGTTGAGTCTGTGATTTCTAGCTTTCCCAACCATATGGGGGTATTACAGTGGTATCCACTGTCTGGCGCAAGCACAGTTATGTAAACATACTAGAACAAATCCTTCTGGGTGACTAGTTGTTAAACTTGAATGAAAAAAATGCTTTTATTGTGATGACTGTGTACAAAATCAAGATTTTCAGATATGGATTTTTTTAAGAAGTATTTTCCTCCTTGTTTGGTGGTGAAAATCTATTGTGTAAAAGTGACCAATTGCGTTTCTCTGTGTCGTGTGATTTAAGTAAGATACACTATTTGTAGTATGAACTCTGCTTGTGTGTTACATGGTAACATAGTTAATGCTACAAAATGAAAATGAAAAAAAAAAAGACTGAAAAGAGAATCACAAAAAAAAATCTAGTCTTGAAATGGCAGAGGATTTTGGTAGCAGGTTAAGAAAGAATTTGAAATACTTTTGCCCATGTACAAAGTTTGTGCTTCAGTTATTGTTTTTTCTTTTGCTTTAAAGGAGTGTATGTATTTACAAGCACTCATGTTTTCATCAACATTATATTGCATTTCATTTTTGTAGTCTTGCATTACAGTTGGTGTAATTTGTGTATCTATTTATAGCACAAATTTACCCATAATCTGTGGATAAATAAAACTAAGTACGAATATCCGGTAAAAAAAATCATAGCACTTAGTGCCGAATTAAAGTAGTTCTCCTATCCAAATTGTTTGTTTATATGCGTGGTGTGAATGAATGAGTGATAAATTTGGATTGCAATTATTCAAATGAAATGAGGCCAAATACAACAGTTTCTGGTAGCCTGACCTACCTTAGATTTTGCACCTTTTTAGAGCTGCTTGAGTGGTGCTCAATCCTCATTTCAGACATTGTGGCAAAACTCTCTACTCAAGAATGTCTGCCTGAAATCTCATTTGTAAATGCTTGGTGTATAAGGACCACAATTATGCCAGCAATGAAACGAGGCTAATTAGGAGGTGCTGTTAGTGTTTTCCCAGAAGTCAATGTCTGTAGAGGGCGCTAAATAAGTGTCAAAGTTTTCAAATGTGGCTACTTAAACCCTATGGTATTTGAAGATGCATTGGTTGATTCTATTATACCCAGTTGCATCTTGACCATTAATTACATAAAGTTAACTGCCCAATTTTCCTTAATTTCAAAAAGTCATGTGCTCAAATTCACTAAATACTTGTGCTTCCTCATCTGTAGAGGGCGCTTCACATGTACTAAACAGGTTTCGATTGTGGCTCTTCAAACTCTTCTGTGAAAGTCAACTGAATAACATAAATGGAGCAAGTGTGCCAGTTTTATTTCTGCATTTGAGCAGCCTAAAAAGATGTTTTGAACAATAACACAGAAATGTTCCCAAACGTACAGTACCAAAATGTTTCACCTTGCCCATAATGAGAGTTAAAGTATAATTGTTACAATGTCACGTGTTTGCAGGATTAGTTCAAGTAATTTGTGTTCAATCTCTCTCAAACTATCTCGGTGCAGTTCAAATTTGGTTACTGGTTCGTTTATTTGGGGAGATAATGATAAAATTGTGCCTCATTAGCAATTATAACAGGTGTGCATCTTGGAAACGTGAAAGTAATATCAGTGTTATTGGGTACTGATAAGATTAGCTTGAAAGTTCAAATCTAGTAAAGATAAATGAAATGTATACTAAGAATGTTTTTTTATTTGCCTTGTCTGTATTAGGTGAGGAAAATCATTTGTCCTTGTTTCTTTAATGTGAAAAAACATGCTAAAGACTTTTGAACTGCTAATTGTTAAAACCAGATGTCTGTACAATACTCCCCAAGACCTGAACCTCGATTTCATAGTGGCACAAAAAATGAACTGTTTTGCCTGGATATATTGCTATTTGGCAGATTTTATGCGGTCCATTTTATAAATACATTTACTCCAGCTAGCACTGAAAAGTAGTTCTCACTGAAATTTGAAGAGATATACTGGTATATACTTTATTTTGAAATTTCGCACAAATCATGTTGCATTTTGTAAAGGACTGTGAGATTAATACTGTACGTTCAATATTATCCAAGATACAAGAAAATTCATTAATTTCATAAAATAAATACATATGACATTGTTCTAGTAAAATACCATTTGGACGGAAAATTTTTTTTTTATTACACGGTAAGTAATTTCACTGAGTTTGTAACTATGGGCAAGATGGTCAATAGTTTTACTATGTTTTCTTACAAAGTTGTGTTTCCACCTTTCAGTTGAGTGCTCTTGTCTCCCTGGGTTCACTGCCAAGCGGTGCTATATCCAAGGTGAGATATCTTGGGGGGGGGGGGGTGAATTATACACAGTGATGACTGTCAAAAAATGTCAATGACATTCCCAGAGCAATCAGTATATGATGCCAATATACCATGTATATGCGAGCTTAGCGTTCCTAGAGTCCAGCTAGCTGGAGTGTAGTGTTTCCCCTATTCAAGGCAAATGACAATTTGAGCATTCAACAGCGCTCCAAATAAACCAGTGACTGATACCATTCTTTTGATGTATATAGGGAGTAGCTTGTCATCTGTCACTACACTGGTTGCTCAAATCAAACCAGCTTCCCATGATCTTATACTGAAATTGTCAAGGTCTGTCATCATTTCAAGCGGTCTATTATGTGGGCAACATTATCTGCCAACCCCCACAAACTTATAGCACATTATTTATCATGTTTGGCTGGTAGGATTTCACTAACTCTTGCACCCAAATCACCATATTGGTGGTGTGTCAGGCTTTGATTACACATTTTTGCTAGTGTGCTGCCTGACAAGGATCAATCAAACGATTCGGTGAAATGATATTCCATTCAGGAAGTCACGCTGAGCAGTTGTCACCATGGTGATGTAAACAGTTTGTATACAAATTATATTATTCACAATCAGACGCTTACCGCTCTTCCATACATGAGGGCGCACTCAACATGCAAACAGCGACGCTTGATTTGAAAACAATTATTGAGTACATGTATACATTTGCCGAGAATGATAATTAGGGTCAGATGTTTACAATCTTTATAACCACGATAGTATAATAATCAATTTTAACTTTCCGTCATATTCAGAAGCATGTATTTCAATTATAACTAACAAGCGCCATCAATGAACCGCTCAGACCATTCGTCCGGTTTTACCATACCCACCCGGGCGAGACCTAAATCAAGAGCATAACCTTAATGGCAGGGAAGATCCATAAATTAGATTATATCTTTATTTTGTAACGTATCAAACAAACCTTGAGTAATGTACCAACAAATAAACTAAAACATACCAAAAATATAAACAATTGAAATTTTGCCAAAATGCTAAGAACTGGATGTAAGAATCAATGCTTACTAGTACTAAGCAATGTTAATTCATCCACGCTAAGAACTTACAACTTTGGGGCATAGATGTACAGGGCTGTAAGAAATCTTTGGAAGTTATTACAATATAAATGCAATGTTTCTCACCCTTTACTGCATTCCATTCGTTGAGATAACATGTATTGAATCACAGTCCTTATATCACTCACTAGAAGACTTTAATTTAATGAGGGCATTATCTATATATTACAACGGTTACATTGAACTGGCCAATGGGTGTTCTAGGAGTTCCGTGGTTATATACTGTAACCCGGCATATGAGATTCGCAACAATTTGTTTAGCCAGGCGTTGCCCCCTCTAAAATCAGGCTGAAACCCTTTGTGTCAGCAAATAATATGATAAGCAGATCTCGCCCCTCCATGCAAGATTTCGTGGCGCCGCCTCTGAGTACCTAAGCCTTTCGATTTATTCAGTTTTTGTGAGAGTATATTATGGAGAACCAAACTAAGCTTTCTTCCAGCTATGACAAAAGCTTTAAAAATAAAATTGAGGGGGAGATCGACCAGATGGAAAGAAATGAAATAATTATCAAAGATTTAAATAAACCAATAACAATTGGTGAAACCAAAGTTGCTGTAAAGAAATTAAAATTAATTAAGTCACCAGGTGAGGACAAGATTTTCAATGAATTAATTAGGTATGGAAAGAATTTTCTACTTCAACCAATTACACCAGTTTTCAATCAAATTTAAAATTCTGGTGAATTTCCATCAGCATGGAAGAGTAGTATTCTTATCCCATTACATAAGAAAGGTTCGAAATTAGATCCTGGGAATTATAAGGGGATTGCATTGTCAAGTTGTTTAGGCAAGCTGTTTACTTCAGTATTAAACAGATTAGTAGAACATTTGGAGAAAGAACACCGCTATTCGCTATCTCAGTTTGGGCTCCGTAAACATCGAAGAACGACAGACTGTCTGTTTATTTTGAAAACTATTGTTGAAAAATATCTCTACCAAGATTGTCAGAAAAATGTATGTCTATTTCGTAGATTATAGAAATACATTCGACAGCATGTGGCGTAAAGGTTTATATTAGAAATATATGACGTCACAGGCATTTTTCTTAATTAAAAGCATGTAAACTAACATTTCCTATAAAATTAAAACAAGAGGGGACTAACTAAAGAATTGCAGTCATTCACAGGAGTAAAACAAGGGTGCAACATTAGCCCAACTCTGTTCAGTTTATTATGAATGACCTGCCAGAAAATCTGAGCAATAAAAATGGTAGTCCACCAGAAATTAATGATCAGAAAGTAAATTCTATCTTATTTGCTGATGATCTACTCATTTTATCTCGAACTCTGGAAGGAATGCAGGGTTACCTAGGTGACCTGGTAGATTACAGCAATAAGTGGCAACTCTCAGTTAGTTTAGATAAAACCAAAATAATGATTTTTAATAAGAGAAACTGAATTATTAATGAGAATATTTATTATGGTGGTTCAGAAGTTGAAATAGTTGGCAATTTCAACTATCTTGGGATTATTTTTACTCCTAATGGAAAGTTTAATGCGGCATGCAATACACTTAAATAAAAGGCATTGAAAGTGTTGTTTGCACTCAAGAACATGCTGGCTTCGGTGTCAAGTTACACGTTTAAAACGGCCTTAAACCTTTTTGATAAATTAATCACTCCGATTTTAAATTATGGGTGCCAAGTTTGGGGGGAAGAGATTACCAAAAATAATATTATTGAAACTGTCAATTTTTCCTTCTGTAGATTTTTATTAGGCATCAGTAAAAGCGCAACTAAATTTGCAATTTTAGGAGAGCTTGGGAGATTATTCATTAAAATTCATGCATAAATGGTTAAATATTGGTTTAGATAATATATTCCCAACACACCACATATTATAGTAATGGCATTAAAGGAGATGGAAGTACTCAAACTTGGTTGGATTAATAAAGTAAAAAAAATCATTACAGATAATAATTTAAATAGTTACATCAGACAACGAGAAAAGTCTGATAAAGATATATTGAATAAAAAACTTTATGTCTTACTTAAGGTAGCGAGACTATTATTTGTGTTGAAAATTACGATTTTCACATTTATTTATTAATTGATGAAATGCACCATAAACTTTCATATGATAAAGTCAATATAACATAGAATGTCATGTAAGTTGGTTAAAATATAGATTTTCTGAAGGGAAGCAAGGCAGCCTCAGTAGTGTTTTCCAAAATCAACAACACAGGTTTAATCTGTGTGCCTATAAGTTTCAAAGATAAACTCAAGACAAAGCAATGTTAGGATGTGTTATCAATAGCTATCTGACACACAATGAGTGTTTCCAAACATTTGAGTGGTTTGTCTCCGCCCCTGTTTGTTTCACAGATTAGTCATTTGCATATGAATGTGTCAGACACAAGGTCACACAGCCACTGAAAACAAATCATTGATTTTGGTGTTTTCATATGCCGAATTTACACATTTGGATGTCCCTACACATGGTAAAACAGACCTTGATGGGAAAACAAATTGATTGTGCCGATAAACAAGCTTGAAAATCTTTGCTGTTACTTCATGGACGTTTTCTAGGAGTTTATGTTTTTCAAAATACAAGGTCTTTAACAAAAAATAACGTATACTTATTGTCGTCGGATTAACACCAAATTTTCACAGCTTTAAGGTGACAATGAGAGGAACTTGAATGTGTCCAGACTAACTACTGTAAAATGGTTAATTATTCACAGGGTTTTAATTTGGCTTATTTCGCTGACTGTAAAATGCGCTAAATTAAAACCCAGTGAATATGTAAAATTTAGCATAAAACATATTATCTAAATGATAAAACCGTGAATTTAAAACCCACTGAATATGCCTGAAATGGTAAATCAGTGAAATTTAAACCCAGTGAAAATTAGTCATTTTACAGTATTTCATCGATTATTTACCAACGAGTTGTGGTTTGAGTTGGGGGCAATGCGACTAAAACAGTAATTGAAATTCAGGACACTATTTTTTAAAACGCGTTGCTTGAATAAAACTAACCAGACACATTCAATTTACCAGACTATTGAACAACTAGGAAAAGTGAAAAAAATACTTCTTATCGCCAGCATAAATGCGTAATTATTATTTTTTACAGAAAAAGTAATTTTTCACCTTTGATTGAGTAACGCGTCGTAGATTGCAGATACGGGCATGCAAAATACACTTGTGAAAAGCTTGAAGTTTGGCGATTCTAAAAATATATACTTTCCCGGGTCTATTTGTAGTCATTTAGTCACAATTAGAAGATGAAAACAAGTAAGCAAATAATAGTCCCGCTACCTTAAAGAAAAGTACACAGAAACTATTTGATGACGTAAGAATAAATGACGAGACAAATAAATTAGCCACATACAGAAAATTTAAAATTGAATTTAAAATTATTTAACAGAGATCAGCAATATTAAACCGAGACAACTTTTATGCAAATTCAGGATTTCAGATCATAAGTTGCTAATAGAGACTGGCAGACATAGACAGATACCAAGGGCAGAGCGTACATGCAAAACCTGTAATGTAATTGAGAGTGAATATCATTTCATGATGGAATGTAGTAATTACATTGAATGTCGTAAAAGACTTATATTACAGAGTAAAAACAAAATTAAAGATTTCGACACATTGCTTTCTGAAGTTCAATTTATTAAAATTATGAAGAAGTGCTCTATTGATGTTGTACAATTTATCCAGTCAGGTATGAAAATCAGAGATGAATTATACATGTAACAGCGCCACCAAACTACTAGTAAGTAGTATTAGTGCTTTATAGTAGCTTTTATTCATTTTTGTTTATACGTAGTTTTTAGTTTAATCTCGTTTTTATTTGTTCTTAAATTTTGTTTTATACAACCATAAAAACAACTTCTGTAGTATGTCTTTCGTGTTGAATAAAATTATTATTATTATTCCACCACTCAGATCGTCTACAGATTATGTTGACAGTCATCAAAATGAATGATTTGACTTGAACTCAATTCTAGAAAGAAAGTTAACGAGAATTCAAAGAGAAAAAAGAAGAATTGGTTTGACCAACAATGCAGACAAGCTAATCCACACCTAGTAGAAACAGAAAGGTTACTGAGCAAATTCCCCTTTGAGATTGGGGTGAAGTGTCAAATTCCAAATGTTGAAAACGATGCACAGGTTTTCAAAAAGACCAATATTTTGTATATTTAATTTATTACAACAAGAGTTGCAATTTGTCTTCTTGACAGTCCCGGTCTGCCAGTGAACATTCTGACTTTACTTAGCGCAAATAACTTCAAGACGTTGAATTATTCGTCTACGAATTATTATTTATGACAGTTTCAAATGTTGGCATAAGATTAGACTCCCACTTTGACCCACTTTTTTTGATCTGCACTTGAGTCCGAAGAAGTACAACATAGACTGGACCACAGTCTAGAGGGACTCTGACTGGATGTATAGACGCACCTTTTCAAGAGCATCACACAACTCACAGAACCAATCAACGACGAGCATTCGTGTGACGTAGAACTCAGCTTTTGATTTCTATCAGAGTGACCTCGGACCGGGTATGACCTGTTGTTTTTTCTTCATATACCCGGCTGAAGCGTGAAATAAGGTAAGCATAATCCCATGTCACATTTCATAACTACGGAGCCCAGTAAATCTCGACAATTAATATTATAGGGATAGAATGCCGGTATAAAACTGAGTAGTAATTAGATTAAAATGGCTCAATACTAGATTATTATTTGCTGAGTCGACTATTTTGTGCTCATTTTTGACTATAGTTCACGTAGGTATATTTCTATCATTACTCTACCAGGGTTCCCATCCAGGTCACACTGTACAATAAACTGACTTGCATAGCGTACTTCAATGCACTTTCAATATTTTCCACCGGGAAGAAGCGATGGATGGGGCTGATTTGGGATGGGGTGGACGCGGTGGTTGGTTAATACACAGTTCCTCTATCTAGGGGCTGTGGTTGGTGTGACAGTGCGGGTGTCAAATTGTGTCAAATATTTAGGGGTGAGTGAAGCTCTACTGTCAATTTAGTGGAC